GGGCCGTCTTGGGGCTATCTTGGGCCGTCTTGGGGCCGTTTCGGGGGCCTCTTGGGCCGTCTTGGGGCTGTCTTCTGGGCCTTTGGGCCGTCTTGGAACGTCGGGAAGCCGAAAAGGCGAAAACGCAAACAAACACCGAAAAACACAATGGAACACCAACAATTTTAGCCTCTCGGGGCCCTCTTGGGAGGCTTGTTTGGGACCTCTGGGGCCGTCTTGGAGGCCTCTTGGCCCGTCTTGGGGCCATCTTGGGCGTCTTGGAGCGCTCGTTTAGCGTCCCGGGGCCCTCGTGGGCCGTCTTGGAACCCTCTTGGGGCCTTCTTGGCCCATCTTTAAGTCCTCTTGGGCCCGGAAGAGCCCGTGGCGCGTTCGTCGGGGGCCCCCCCCTTCCAAATCGACCGGACCGGGCTTTCGGGGGAGGGTTGGGGAGGGGGGAGCATCTCACACGCCGATGATCCCCAAGGGGTCGGCGGATTACTACTATTATTACTCTTGTTATTCTTAGTCGTATTCTGAATATGCTTATGACTATGATTAAGATTATGATTATGACTATGTTTACGATTATGATTGTTATTAGTATTCGTATGCTAGCCGTGCTATTATTATTGTTATTGATATCGTTAGCACTACTACTACTACTACTACTACTACTACTACTACTACTACTACGACTACCACTACTACTACTACTACTACTACTACTACTACTACTACTACTACTACTACTACTACTACTACTACTACTATTTTGATTATTCTTATTATTCTAGTTTTCATTCCCATCATTCTTATTATGATTATTATTATTAGTAGTATTATTAGTAGTAGTATTAGTATTACTAGTATTACTAGTATTATTATCGTGAGTATTACGAATACATGTAGCATTCTCTTATCATCATTCTTATTCGTATCATGTTTTATCAAGCGCAATTTTGTTGTTATTATCCTCTCCTGACGTCATTGATGCCGTTCTTGCTGATGCTGCCATGCTGATGTGGGCCAGCTGTGGGCTCTGTGGGCCAGCTTTGGGCCTGGCACCGTGGGCCAGCGCCGGGCTCTGCCGGCTCCGTGGGCCAGCTGGTGGGCCGGGCGCTCTGGCGTTCGGGAAGTGTCGACCTTCGCGAGGACCAGCCGTGGGCCGGGCGCCGATGCTCTCGAGCAGGACACATGTTCGGGGTCGTGGAGGGTTTCTCCGAGGGGCTTAGGCGACCCGTCCTATTCCTCCACTCCTCCTCCTCCTCCTCCTAGTCCTCCTCCTCCTCCTCCTACTCCTCCTCCTCCTCCTCCTCCTCCTCCTCCTCCTCCTCCTACTCCTCCTCCTCCTCCTCCTCCTCCTCCTCCTACTACTACTACTCCTCCTACTCCTCCTCCTCCTCCTCCACCTTCTCCTCCTCCTCCTCCTCGTCCTCCGCCTCCTCCTCCCCCTCCTCCTCGTCCTCCACCTCCTCCTCATCCTCGTCCTCCTCCTCGTCCTCGGGTCGCCTACGGCCCTGGGGGACACCGTGCGCGGGGTCGACGTCGGGGTGCTTTGCTCTCTGGCAGGAGCGTCGGCATCGTGTGCCGCGCCGCCAGCTCTGGCCCGCCTCGCTTCGGCGCGGCGCGTCGGGCACGCCCCGCTCTCCCCACGCCCCGCTCTCCCACGGTGGTCCTACACTTCGCTGGCTCGGCACGTGTTGGTTCACGCCTTGGCGAGCGTACTGCGCCAGACGGACGTGTTCGGTCTGCGTGCTGCGCGTCGTGCCAGCACGCTGCGTGTTGCGCGCTGCGTATCCGGACAGCTATGCTCAGAGATTCGTCCTCGTCCTCGTCCTGGCTCCCCGATCTGTTTTCCCAGCCTCCGGTCCCGCGAAGCAGAGCGACGCGCTATCAGGTTACAAGGCGTAGCGTGTCTCAGGGGCCGCCGCCGCGACACGTACGCAGCCGGCGGTTTTGAAGGCTTCCGTCCCTTCAAGCAGTTCCCGAGCTCGACGTGGTCTTCGAAGTGGCGGTGCTGGTAGCCTGATCGGCCACCAGCGGGCTGCGTCATTGCTTTGGGGCGTGTTCGTAGGTGGCGCCGGTCGCCTTCGTGGAGACGGAGCCTTTCCTCCAACGCAGTGCCTCCAAGGATCCACACAGGTGCTGAATTGCGATCGTATCGCTTGCTAGTTGCTTTTAATTGGCACGCGGATGATATTTCGTATTCATATTTATGGTTGTATGCCCTCTCAGATGTGGTGGTGCGTCATACGCATGTATGCTTCAAGGGCTATAATCAGTCCTTGCAGAAAGCTGTGCAAGGTGGTGAACTCCTGCGCGCATATGAATAGTGGCGTCGACCAGGGTGAGCCTAGGCACGTGGCCCTCGTAGAACTATTTGAATCGGGCGTCTTGCAAGACGCACTTGTAAGGCCAGGTCATCGTATGTGCACCGCACAGTATCACTTGTCAGGGAACGCGTCCAGGGCCGGATGTGGCCCTGCCAGCATGCTATCACTTGACACGGAGATTGCGCGCGCGGTCCGCATGGCACGATTCGACAGACAAGGCGCCCCAGGCCGGGTGTGG